CGTTTTTGTAGGCATTAAACTGCCAGAATTTTAAAAGACGATATCTCCGTTTGCATTGAACTTTCAGCTTCGAAACTTTGCAGATATTGTTTATGATCAAACAGCAACATTACACACTAACTAACATTAAAAAAGTGAAATCGCAATCAACCACCCCTTTAAAAACACCATCATAGGTTTTTATGGGGGATATGAAGTTTTTAGTTTTTAGAAGTAATAGGCTATTTTCTATCCTTTTTTGAGTCTCTCTGCAGAACGGTCTGTTTTTTATAGGTGGGGCGCATTCAACACTCACAAGTAAACGCCCACTGCTGTGATTGGCTAAGAGTTTTGCTTATTAAAATAACAGAGGGACGCTGCTGTGACGTACTCTGAAAACAACATGGGTCATTTGGGTTAAAAACGTATAAATACTCAGTATATCAAACTGTCTGGAACAGACAATGCAATACTGGTAAAAGCATGTTTACATTACGACATTACTGTCGGATCCGCTCTAGTCAGACTCAGCACTGCATTATCTTTTACTTTCAGTCTCTCTGAAAAGCCTGCATCATACTGTCTTGTTTAAAAATTTATCCGTAGCAAAGTAAAGGAAACAAACAAACAGTGATTCACTGACACGATCTGGAGCTCTTTGCTAATTTTACCCCGTGTTTACACCGAAAGCGACAATAGACAAGAGAACCCATTATAAGCGGTGATTCTGTCTACACTGGATGCGGCACGGATTGACATAACAAATCCCTGACAGTAAACTGATGTCCTGCTCTATTTCTGACATACAAGCATTCGCGCCGCTTCTGACCTGAAAGAGAAATTGATTTGCGACATGAGTTTGCGTCTCTCTAGTATTTCCTCTCTTATCACAAGCACCTATCAGTGGGCGGGGCTAAAGGTGCAGTGATGTAGAATCAGACATTGATCTTCTCCTGCGGAGGCGGTGCTTAGCCACACTATTACATCATTAAGTGGCACATTACAAAACAAGTCGTTTTCTGAGCTTGGTTTCAATAAAAGCTGTTTTTAAACTAACGAGAAAGTTTTGAAACTTACAGGATGTTTTTATAGTACATTGACCTGTTATATGTCAAAAGATCAAGGGAAATTTTATTTCTCAGTTTATGACCCCTTTAAAATGACTATTTATAACATGTGCATACTATTTTAGTTCTGTCTGCATTCTGTGCCATATTCAACTTGATTTCTTTATTCCATTTTTAATCATGTTTATTTAGTGAGATCAGATTCCATGCATCAGATATTACAGGTGCTGCAGTTCACGTGGGCTCAGGTGGATGGAGTGCTTAAGTAATCTTAAAAGTGCAGTGATTCAGTGCACTGTAAGTCTTTTAGCTTGATTACAGGTAGGTGAGCATCAGCTGCAGGAGAAGATTCAACATTCCTCAACACTGGCTGACTAGCCATGTGGGAGACGAGATGGATGTCTTCCCAAGCTTTTTTGGGAAGATCACATCAGGAGATGAGGGCAGAACGGCAGCTGTTTACAAACGCAACACTGCTTTCAGGAGCTGTGAGCCTAAAGCATAGTCAAATTAGAAAGAAGATGAAACAAACAGGCTATAAGGAATTATTTACAAAAGCAAAAGTGTGGGGGAAAAAACTTTCTTCATTGCAATTAAAATTTTAAAGGCTCAGAATTGCAAAATATTTGATGCATATGCCTTTATTGTGTCAACTCACCAACAGCCTGCAGTGAATCAAAAATGAAATCTTTCCCCCTACGAAATGTGTTACTCCTGATATGAAACCATGAATGACATGTCTCAGTGAACAAATATTTAAAGAGACTAGATAAAGCAGTCCAACAATAGAGAGTACTGACATCAAACACCATGAGACAAAAAAGACATTTACTATTAATTGTAAAAGGAAAAAAGGAGGGAAATCCTCCATATACAGTATATTCATATTTTTATGGAAAAATATTTTTAAGTTGAAAAGAACAGCATTTATGTGAAATATGTATTTTTTGTATCATTACAAATGTCTTTACTGTTTTGATCAATTTAATGCGTTCTATAATGTATCTTTTGAAAACAAATTGTACTGACCACATATTTTTGTTTCTGCAGGACCTAATGCTTTGTACATCTGGCTGATAATCATTATAAACATCAAGCAAGTTGATAAATCAGAAGACTTCAGAAAATCAGTAATACAATATATATATATATATATAGAAAGATTGTACAAAATAAATCTGTCTGTTTTAGATTTCCATGTTCTTTGGTTGGCCCGTGTTTGTTTGTTTGCTCTGATGCAGCTGAGTAAACAAACAGCATTTTGCCGGCTCTCAGCATCGTCCAATTAAAGCGTTTCATCAGCCAGAACAGGAAAATGGATGGTTGCAGTAGAGGGGTGTAACAGCCGGGCTTTTCCATGCACGCAGACACTTTCATCTTATGAAGGACTGCATTTTTCCCCACACTCACATTCAGAAAATGATTTCAGTAAAAAACAAATAAGCAGTCCTATTCGACCCCTGATAAATGTGCGGTGGGCTGATGCTGTCACTCAACAGTAGACGACCCAGAACCCCAAGTGTGTCCTTAAAGCGTCGGCTGCGCTGGCACACCTCACTGACCCCTGCCTAACAGCAGGTCGCAGCATCTGCTGAAAGCAGCCCTCTAATGACCCCACAGCTCCACACACACACTCACACTCACAAGGGCAGGCAAAGGTAGGTCAGCTTCTTCCAGAGCCCCTCATTTAATGCCAGCCAGGGGTGCTACCCATCCTGGACAAAACCTTCTCATGTGGAGAGAGCTCATGTAGTCACACTGCACAGCAAAAACAAATTATGGGATTTAGCAGCAAATACAAAGCCTGTTGATCATATCATCGCAAAATGTAACTATATTATGGCCTAGTTCTTTATAAAATTATATAAAGATATAAAGGTTATATAACTATTTCCAACTTTAAACTCACAGTGTCACATACAGCGAGACATAGTATACAGCAAAACTCGGCTGAGTTATTGTTGATATTATTGCAAAACTGCAAAAAAAGTGTATTATCACAGTTCTGTATATAAAGCTGGATATATATTCTATACATACATACAGTATACTGACGTAAAGTGATATATACGGTTTAGAAAATCTCTACTGTTTGATTTACTGTATATAATCGCAACATATAATCTATATAATCGCGGATATCCACATTAATACTCGCATAGGGTGATAGACAAAGCAAATCTCAACTGCCTGATTTATTTATTTTTTTCGTCACAAAATGTAACTTTAATATCACCCAGCTCTTTATAGAAAGCTGGATATGTTCAATTTTATCCACATACATTTAATATACTCATATAGAACAATATATAATA